GGTGAGGGTATTTTTGTCTATTTAGTTATTTTTTTTCTATTTTTTTTTATCAAAATTAGAACTACATTTGTATTTGTCCATTTAAAAATCAATGGTTCTTTTTTGTCATTAGAAGATATATATGCATGTGTATTAATTAAATTATTATTACTTGCATATACTCCACTTCTTAACGTGTAGACCATCACTTGCATGGAGGGCCTTCTGAACGTCTCCTCTATTGTAATAAGAAGTCGTGTGTTCATTTAGACACATGTCAAATACGACCCCATATCGTTGTGTTGGCATCTGAAAAAAATGATATTAATATATTAATATATACATATGCAGAGTAATCTTTCGGTCAGGACTTCTTGAAATATAATCACAGTCTGGCCACCGCTATTTGAGGTGGTTCTCGGTAGAGTTTTTTATGAAATGTTGTGAGCATGTTCTTTATGGAGTTTAGATTATGTTTACAAAATTTCAGTTTAGAATTCGATTAAGAATTCATCAGTTATATAAATTATTGAAAAACAATGTGCTAAAATATACTCCGTGTATATAAACCGCAATGTTTTTTAATTAGTAAGCACTATATTCAATTCCAAAATTAAGTAATGGGATATGGAAAAATAGATACATTGTTCATCGATCTGGATGTATCATGTATGCATGTGTACCTTCTTGGGCGATGATGATAAGGTGGTGAAAGTGACTTGGAATGATGAATTGTCATTGTTTAAGCATTTGGGTGTATAGAGGTTGTAAATATTTATCTCTTCGTATTGCTTAGACATTTCATCTAAAGCATCACCACAATTCTTATTGCTCCACAAATCAGAGCTATTAAAATCACAGTTATCTTTCACTATTTTGTGGATTTCATCTGAGATTATAGCATGACTCCAAGCATAATCGACTGTACCCCTCCAGTCCTCTGAATTTGATGTTTCAGGGTTTCCCATCTGCATGCATGCTCTTAGTTGTTAGTCGTTACGTAGTTCGTAGGTACTAAATCAATTAGATAGATCAATTAATTAAGCAATAATTAATTGGTCAGTTCATATATCCCAATGCACAATGTTGGAAAATTCCTTCAATAGGAGAAAATCATAGCTTCATTTATCAAAACAGGATTATTGCTATCTAAGAATTTTGTCCATCTTTTAATTTTCTAGTGCTGTTTTATGCGTTTAAATTAAAAGTACTTTGTATGTGCGTGTGTGTTTATTTATTTACTCCATAGGTCACTATATAAACCAACCATTTGTTTGAAGGACAAGGTGATTATTAAAGGAAAAATTTAGATTTATGCATTGTATGAACTATATAATGTTTCCCTTAAAAGTTAAAACGAGGTCAGTCAATTTTTAAAAGGTCTAAAAACAAAGTTTGTGCATAATGTAGGACAAAGAGAGTATGTGTTAATACCAGTATTCCTTTAAGATGAATGGGAAGAGTATTAGAAGGGTCCTTGTTTTTGGCAAGAATGAGGTCAGCCAACTGAGGTATATATTTCCCTGTGATGCTCAGCTCAAAAATCATTAAATCATACTAGGTATAATATTTGAAATTAATCATGTACAATCATTACACTAAATAATACTAGTATATTTTAATTTAATTAACTGTGTACCTGCATAACTCTCTCCAGCTATATAGAAGGATTGGTTTCTATAAGTTGGGAACTTCTGGAACCAATTGTTCAGGAAAATGTATGCATCGTTTGCTATACATGTATGTATATTATCATAGTCGTAGAAACACGTATGTACAAAGATTAGAGAATTTTTTAATTAGATTCACTAGAAAAGATTAATAAATGATTAATAGTACTACCCAATATAATTATATACGAAGTATATATTGCAAGAGAGATCGATATACATACTGGCAAGTTTATCTCCTAGCTTCACATAGTCAGTACTCGTATTTGTATATGAGAAGCCTACACCAATTGGAGATTCCAAGAACAATATGTTCGCTTCTGCATTTATGCACGGCTTGCACGTATGTAGCATTATTAGGTAAAGACTTAAGAGGTGTTTACTTCACTGCTAAAAATATAATTAGGTGAGTGAGACAGGTAAAGTAAACACAGGCTAATTAACCCAAAAAGATTCTTAATATGCTTCTTAATTACGTTACTAAGCATATCACCTCCATATATTAATTAATCGACAGTTTAAGCCTTTTTAGTTTCTGTTTTTATACATACATCTTATAGATATATTATATAACATACGCATATCTATACATGCATATATATGGTGCAGTTCCAATGAAAACAATGTTTAACGTGAGAACACTCGCATTTAACCCAACATGATGCATAATAAAGGTCATCCGGTGCACTTTTAAACTTTTATCTAAAAAGTCAATATTAAATATTTGCGGTGACATTTTAGTAAATGGAGTACTATATTTAAAGTAAAAAAGTGCAATCGGCGAACCTAATTGTGCATCACATTGGAGTCAATGTGGTGTTCTCACATTAAGCAATATTCTCATTTGATCCTATATATATATATATAATATACTCGTATATAATATATTTGATCCTCTTATTTGATTTAATTTATTTCCAGTTTGGTTGACAATTCAAATGAATACCTATTTTCAATTTTGCGATTATCTTTTTAACATTTGTAATCTCCTATGTTTTTTATATTTAATAAAACTCTCTTTTGAACAAATATATACAGGGAAATTGCCCTAAATAGGACTAAAAATTTTGTATATTGCAAAATAGGACTATCATGTTTTTATTCCCAAAATCAGAGTAATTACTGTCATGTTTTGGCAGTATGTACCATACTTTATTTAAACATAACGGTATTTTTCAAACTTGACAGTAATTACTCCTATTTTGGGAATAAAAACATGGCAATCCTATATTGGAATTTTCAAACTATTTTACTCCTATTTCGATAATTTTCTCATATATATAGGAGAAAACTCAAATAAAAAGACATCTTCCTATGCAAAGTGTGAATCTGTACGTGCACTTGTTGCTCATTATATTGTGATGCAATGCGCTTTTACATGTTTATGTTGCACTTTTCCACGTAAGCAAAAAGTTTTAGTTTATTTACGAAATTGCCACCACATTTTTAATCAAATTTAGTGCATTGTTAGTTCAGTTTGAACCATTAGATCTAGAAATGAATGCACAAGATGTATTCTCACCTAGCATGGGAAGCTCCAAAACGATGCACTTTATTGTTCACGAAAAATGTATATTTATAGTCAAAGTAATGCAAAACTTAAATGTGCACATTTACGTTTAAACGTTTGCACAGGTGAAATGAAAATTTTCTAATTTTTTTAAATGCACATTTCTGTTTTACATGATGAACGACACCCAAATCCAACGCTTCAGAATCTTTCGCATTGCTCTCCTAAGATAGTAAGATGGTATTCTCATATGATTTTTATTCTATATATATACGAAGTATATAATATACACACACATATATACACCCTATATATATATATATATATTATAATGAGACCTTCCCCTAATAAACGCATGGTGGCATTTTTTTATAAAAAACAACTTTCTTCGAATGCAACTCGTTGAACGTTAATATGCAACAACTATTTTATTGATGAATAAAATGCATACTTTGAAGCTCAATATGTCATACAAATAACGTAAAGATGCATCATATAAACGTTTTCACAATAAGCACAGTTTGTACTTGATTTTTCTCTTATATGTATGTGTTTGTGTGTGTATAGAATATTGTGTGTATATTATATTATATATAGGAGTATTATATTATATTATATTATATTATATTATATTATATTATATTATATTATATTATATTATATTATATTATATTATATTATATTATATTATATTATATTATATTATATTATATTATATTATATTATATTATATTATATTATATTATATTATATTATATTATATTATATTATATTATATTATATTATATTATATTATATTATATTATATTATATTATATTATATTATATTATATTATATTATATTATATTATATTATATTATATTATATTATATTATATTATATTATATTATATTATATTATATTATATTATATTATATTATATTATATTATATTATATTATATTATATTATATTATATTATATTATATTATATTATATTATATTATATACATCTTTTGAGTATGTACCACAAAACAATAGACCTCTTTTGATGCACACAACCTAATTACAAAGTAGTTCTGTTTAGGAAATGTGTTATTTATGAAAAATTGTGAATATTAAACACACCTATATTCCATGAGTATGGATTGATTGCCAAGCGACTTCCGTTACCGTCAATAAGAAAAGGGCCAATCTCTTGAGATGCTCCATATCCCACGGACGAACATCCCGGACCTTAAAACCAATGTAAACACATATAACTTTTTTTATTCAGAAAGTTAACGAGAAGCTGGTAATTCCAACACTGCAAAGTAAACAATGCATATAGTAATTATATGGAAGACTGATAGCTTTAATTCAGTTACACTGGCTAGGGGTCCAAAATTCAGTTAAACGGATAGCTTTAATTCAGTTTAGCTTTAATGGAGTAGCGAACATATATACTACGTACTAAATTAAGAATATAATAGGGACATTAGCCAGTTAGGATCTTTAGGCCTAAAATAATTTCTTATTATTTTTATTGGCTAATGTTTATTGACCAATTACGTATTTGCAACACAACCTTATGTTATGTATTCAATTTTTAATTTAATGTATTTGTAAATTACCCATAAAACAAATTATTTTTTGGATAAATTCAATAAAGTATTTGGGGATTACCCATATACAGAGTATTTGATGGTGAGAATAACGTACAAATTAAACTTTAGGTACTTTTTCTAAAGGTGCAAATTAAATGTCTACTTGTCTCTTTACCTTTTCCAATATTGATTTTTTTCAAACATTGTGTTATAAACATTTGCGTTAACGTATTCTATTCGATAATGAAGAGCGCGTTTTATTGAGTTGGAAGGGCGGCATTTTGCAGGATTTTGACGTGGGGCGTGTGCGGAGGGATTACTTAGGTGGCGGCTTGGATTTATATGGGCGTTTCAACCAGACTAGGAACATTCGCATTCAATTTTTGGCTCGGTTTTTTGATCATTTTTGCACCGAGGAAGGTGTTCATGGAGAGTGTGGTGGATCGATATAGGCAGATGGCAATCGGGGAAGATGAGGCTGAGATTAATCTTGACGAAGGAGAGCTCGACGGCGTTCTGGCGGAGGAGGTAGCAGCGGGTTTTCCGGTCATAGGCCAGATTCTGACTGACCGCAAGGTTCGGCTCTCGGAGATGAAGGAGCAGATTGTGGCGCTTTGGAGGCCAGGAAAAGGTATGTCAGTTAAAGAAATCGGGGACAAGAGGTACCTTTTTTTCTTTAACCATCGTTTTGACATGAAACGTGTTCTGGAGAGTGGTCCATGGCAGTACGCACGTAGTTTGATTTTGCTTAAAGAAGTTATGTCCGATGATATACCACACAAGATTGTCTTGAATGAAGCTGAATTCTGGGTCCAGGTTTATAATGTTCCTTATAGTTTGGTCAATCTGGGCACGACTAGACGCATTGGGAGTTTTTTAGGTGAGTTTGTTAAATATGACGATTATCAGGAAAAAGAAAAATTAGATCCATAGATGCGTGTTAGAGTCCTTATGAAGATGGATAGGTCACTGAAGAAGGGGACAAATTTGAAAAAAGATGGTCAAAGTTTTTGGGTAGATTTTAAATATGAAAGGCTACCCACCTTTTGCTTTATTTGTGGATTTGTTGGTCACTCAGATAATTTTTGTCCCTTGAATTATGAAGAAGGATTGGTTTTGGAAAAGAGGTTTGGATCCCATCTCAGAGCAGGTAGTGGGGTGAAGACTTGCCCAACAGGAGGGCAGATCAGATTCTAGGAGGGTTCATCGAGCTCTAACAAATCGTGGTGGCGGTACAGGGGCACCCAGATCAGAAGGCCAGATAATGGGAAAGGAGAAAGGGGCAAGGACAGAATCTGCACAGAGCATCACAAAAGGTGGGGAGGAGCCAAAGGAAGAGGTCTCCAAAAGAAGGAAGATCTGAGAGACTCAGACAGAGAAAGAGCTGGAGAAGGCCGCCGAATACGCTGATTGAAGGTGTGAGGCCAAGTGCTGGATGTATGGTTCTCGTGGTCTGGCAGCAGAAAGGGTGCTTTTTATTTTGTTTTATTATCTGTTTTTTTAATTCTCATTGGTACCTTTGTTTTGTTTCTGGTTTCATGTTCGGGTTTGTAAGACGTTGATTTCGGAAGTGGGGGATGTGAGGAATTTGGTAACCGATTTACGCTTTCTTTTTCCCGGTTATAGATCAGCGAATTATATTGCTACGGCGATTAATTCCGAGTCTGGTTCGAGAGATGACGATTATCAGTTTTCTTTTAGTCCATTGACTCATACTCTGAATTGCTATTGGTTATTTATCTAAGCCGATTTTTGTAAAAAAAAAAACGTATTTTATTCGATAATTATATCCTCACTTTTCAAATTGTACTACCTCCGTCCCATTATATGTGTCTTATTTGGATTTGGCTCAATTATTAAAAAGTGGTTGAAAAGGTAAAAGTTGTGATTGAGATTTGAGTATAATAAATTGAAATTGTGTGAACCGCATATTTCTTTCCAAAAGGGAAAATGTAACACTTATTTTGAGACGACCTAAAAAGGAAAGTAGGACATATAAGATTGGATCATTGGACGGAGAGAGTAATAGTTTAATATTTACGTTTCTGTTTATTTTTTTACGTTTCTGAGTCAATGTTTTTAGGAGTTCATATACTTAGTACATACATACTAATAATCTATTGACAGAAAATATTGTCATCATTTTTCTGTTGGACTTTGACAACTTTTAAGTTCGATGTGAAATAAGAAAAAAAAAATTATATTATTGAGAATTGTGCAGATAAAAAAAATAAACATAATTATACATTTTGTTATTTTAAAAAAGTGACAAAATTTTAGGACAAACAAAACATGAAAGTAGACAAAATTCAATAAGACATAGAGAATTGGAAAATATATACAAATACTAATCATTACCACATTTCACATCACATCATATACTTCGTATATGGTAGGATTTTCTACAAAAGTAAATGAAACATAGGGTCCAAACAAAAAATAACATATTATGGAAAATTATAGTCAATACTTTGCAACTAAAAAAGCTATCAACCACCAGTATACGTATACAATCATTTTTAAACTTTTCCACACAATTTTAGAGCTCGTTTCATAATACCCAAATCGGCTGTATTGATTTATTCTTTTGATCGATCTTCCTCCTCAAGTCCGGAACTCATATTATATGGATATGTTTGGGCTTTCCTCGTTGAGAATAGCCCATTAACTTATTTGGGCCGGTTTCCCCGCACTTTATGTGTTTATTCTAATGGCTTGTTTTATTCTTGTTATTTGATATATTCTTGTTCTGTTGTTTATTTCTCTGAGAAGGTATGCCTTCTCTGAAGTGGTTTTGGCCTAGTCCCCTACTTCTTTTTTATCGCTTCATTTCTTTATTTTAATAAAATCCGGTAAATGTTCTCCGGCATTTACCCCACTGATTTTGGTGGTTTGCCTTCCGGGTTTAAAAAAAGATTTATTCTACTGAAAAAAATTATAATATATTTTATTAATAAAATAAAGCAAAATTATATGGAAAACAGTTAAAATGATTCTCTACAGTAGCTTCAATTAGTGCAGTCAGAAAAACAACTCCAACTTTATGTTACACAATTGGGTTAATGGCTCAGTAGCAGATCGGCTCATTACCCCTTTGCACGGAGATCAACAATCCCCAACTTGAGCAAGACCCATGACGCTCGACCTCAAAGTACACGGCCCAATAGGTGCCAGGTGACGGTCTAGAGCCTTCGGCCAGATAACTTGCATGGGCCGCACGGAGCCTGGCCCTTGCACTTACCAGAACACGTAGCCCAAGATTCGGCGAACGCTCGTCCGCATCCCTTGGCGGGAAACCAAGATATTGGCGGGAGACGCATTTAATGCACTAGATTTGGTGGTTGGGAGCTAGCCATCCACAGTCCCCAACGCCAGCAACACTACCTACTCCTTGGTAGTATAGATAGTAGCATTTATTTCATTGTAAGAGGTTGGCAACTTATTATCCTTAGCAAATAGCAATTATCTAGCTCTTCCTTAGCAAGTTAGATGAACGGCCTTGGGACTTGTAGTAGAAGTGTGTTGTTTACAAGCCCTTATTATCATTTAATAAGATACGGTCCATTTGCTACTCTCTGTTATTTGATCCATCATACTTGCTTCCATCTCATATCTCTAAACTCTCCACTCGAAACCCTAGGGAAACGTGTTGGGTCACTCAAAATGTTGCACTAATTTAAAAACGCTTGATTAGTTTGATAAGTCGAAAATAGGATCACCAAATAGACTCTTATTTACATGTGTGTGTGCGCGCGCGCGTGCGTGGGTATATATATATATATATATATATATATATATATATATATATATATATATATATATATATATATATATATATATATATATATATATATATATATATAGGGTGTGGTTCAAGTGAGAATGGTAGTTTGGGAGAGAAATAAGAACAAATCACAACCATCCAAATTAAAAGATCTACGATATCAATTGATTGTTAGACGGTGGCATAAGTGAAATTAGTTATAAATTCTAGACAACTAACGGGACATTTAACGTAAACGTAACTGAAAGTCCACTTATTAGCAATAGCCGACTCTCTCTCTCCTTTAATTTACACGCGATCAAATTAAATATAAAAATGATCACCGATTTACATGAAACAATTGTACGAAATAATTACTACATGTACGGAGTGTTATACATAGTGGACTCTTACTTTTAATTAACTTTTTTTACTTTTTCATAGTACCCCATTTGATAACATGCTTTATTTATTTTTAGTTTTATTTTTAATCAATATATAAGGCACGTGCATTAGGAATTTAGGATATCGACTAAGGTTGATATTATGAGCTTTTTCTATTAAAAACACATAATTATAATATCATTGTATATTTTAATTGTAGAAATTCTTTTCGTAAGATTTATTTACATGCACTATGCAATGTTTTCTTCAAAATATGCAAAAATATTACTTTTAAGGTGCACTCATTTTGCAACTTATGCACTTTTACCTTAATTATACAATTGTGCACTTACATGTCTAAGCAAGTAAGGATGTTTTCTTTTGGACTGTTTTCAGTCCCAGACCAGACCAGGATAAACCAGATAAGACCAATCTAACCCAGACCAAACTTCCGTAGTTGTAAAATACATAGAGATCAGACCAGATTAGATCAGACTAGACCAGACCAGCAAATTTCAATCCAAAAGAAAAAAACTAAAAGAAATAAATATGCACTTTCAAAAATATCTTTGATCACTTTTATAATTTGTATCTGCACATTTATTCATAAACACGATACCATGCACTTTATGATATAAATGTTTTAACAATATATGTGTGATCTAGTTTTAGAACATTTTAGAACTCATTTAAAGATGAGTCATACTCCGTAGTATATTTTCAATCTTTATATGAAAATAAATACATGTGCAACTTAAGTATTCTAGTAGTGCACTCATATCGGTACAATTATGCACTTTTATAATTAACAATGACATGATAAAACTACATATCTAGAAGAACTACATGTGCACTTTTATTCATTGTTCTAAAACTCGCTAGGCGCTAGTCGGGCGGTTGAGGGGCGCCTAGCGCCTAGGCGGCCGACTAGGCCGATTTTTTGACCGACTAGGCCGACTAGGTCTCTACAGTTAGGGCCGCCTAGGCCGCCTAGGCCGATTAATCGGTCTGCCTAGGCCGATTTTTAGAACAGTGCTTTTATTATTAGCTTATGCTAAGAGGAGTCATAATATATATTCTCATTCAAAGAAAAATTAATGTGCAAGTTTCTTATTCCAGCAGTGCTCTTTTATCTCAAAATTATGCACTTCTATCATTAACTATATTAGAATGCCCTTGCATACCTAAAAGTAAACCTGCACTTTTAGAAACATTATTGTGCACATTTATCATTTACATCTTCATAATTATTCTTAAACAAACTATTTTGCACTTTAATAATAAAAACAACAACAACAATAATAATGATAATGATAATAATAATAGTAATAACAATAATAATAATAATAATAATAATAATAATAATAATAATAATAATAATAATAATAATAATAATAATAATAATAATAATAATAATAATAATAATAATAATAATAATAATAATAATAATAATAATAATAATAATAATAATAATAATAATAATAATAATAATAATAATAATAATAATAATAATAATAATAATAATAATAATAATAATAATAATAATAATAATAATAATAATAATAATAATAATAATAATAATAATAATAATAATAATAATAATAATAATAATAATAATAATAATAATAATAATAATAATAATAATAATAATAATAATAATAATAATAATAATAATAATAATAATAATAATAATAATAATAATAATAATAATAATAATAATAATAATAATAATAATAATAATAATAATAATAATAATAATAATAATAATAATAATAATAATAATAATAATAATAATAATAATAATAATAATAATAATAATAATAATAATAATAATAATAATAATAATAATAATAATAATAATAATAATAATAATAATAATAATAATAATAATAATAATAATAATAATAATAATAATAATAATAATAATAATAATAATAATAATAATAATAATAATAATAATAATAATAATAATAATAATAATAATAATAATAATAATAATAATAATAATAATAATAATAATAATAATAATAATAATAATAATAATAATAATAATAATAATAATAATAATAATAATAATAATAATAATAATAATAATAATAATAATAATAATAATAATACCACAATTCACCACCAAGTAAGTAAAAGTGCATACCAAATATAGAGTAGGTATCCTATGAGAACATGATCTCAGGAGAGAAATGAAAATGATTTTGGAGCGTTCGGTTTAAGTATCGTGCATAATGTAAAACATAAATGTGCATAAAAAAATTGGAAAAAGTGAATATCAATAGTGCAAAAGTTTAAATGTAAATGTGCAGATTTGAATTTTTTATTACTTTACTATAAATGTGCATTTCCGTGAACTATAATGTGCATCGTTTTGGGTTGTTCTCACCGAAACTGCACCCCCAAAATATATTTGTAAAAGAAAATATACACTCAAATTTAATACTTCTTTAGGCATACCAGAATAAATTTTGTACATCTAGATTCTCAAATGGACAGAACCTTTGAACTTTTCTAAAAATTAAATGAATATAGATGACAAAAAATGTACAATAATGAATTTAGTATGAATTAAGAAATTTGGGGCTATAATT